GAAAGCGAAACTACTTTGTTTGACCTTCCAAAAGAGGACACAACTAGAAATCTGTGGTTAAGTTGTATTTACAACCCAATGTTCCAGAACAGCTCAAACCAAATATTCAGGTGTGTGCAATGCATTTTATGGAGAACGAGGACTGTTTCCTGGGAGAGTAGCCTACAATGCCGGTGTTCCGGTTAATTCAGTTCCCCTGTTGGTTTTATGTTTATGCGGCGAAAGATGAGCTTTGTAAAAATCGACGCGTTTCAGAAAGGCGGGACAAAGAGGAGTACACAACAATGTACAGTATGTGGAAAATAATGTGTTTTTTTAACCTTAAACCGCATAAACACATTTCATTTCACCAAATACACAAAATAATGTTCTTTTTAGCAGCATCATATGACCCCTTTAAATGCAACCTTGGTGAGCATAGAGACTTCTTTCAAAAACATTACAAATCTTGTCAACCCCAAACACTTGAACGGTAGTTACATCTACATGTTCAAGTGAGCTTTCCTTCATGGGAATTGGGAGCCAAATGGGAGCCAAGATCAAAATCCCAAGCTCATGTAGGGTTAACGGCAACAATGCAAAGCTAGTGACTAGTGAAATGTCTAGCTGACAATGTTGTCATCCTGCAGGCTATGATAATCATTGAATCGATGTTTGAACATGCTCAGGCACTTTATCTAAATCAGTTAAACAAGGAATTCTGCAATGGTACATGACACTAGGCCTTTCCACTACTTTCAACAAGTATGGTAATTTACAGAACAATCATGTTAAAGCACTCAGCTTTTACAGTCCAATAGTGCAAATGAGATGTACTCATAAACACTTTACCATCATCCATCAGACAGAACTTACTAATGCATTTACTGAAGACATCCACCATGTTTCTCAAACACACACACTTGTTTTTTATTTCTCTCATAGGACAATCCATTGACTACTATTGATTTTTATACCAAGCTAATAATATATATCATGTAAACCTAATCCTACCATCACACAAACATTTATTTTTTTTTACATTTTCATTAAGACATTATTTAATGTGAAGTTTACACTAGTGTTACAGGTTGAGTCTTTAATTGCCAAAGGCGAACTGAAGCTGAGCAGGTTGTGGCATGTGACAGTAAAAGAACTAATTCAGCTAAAAAAAACACACAATGTCAATGAATTGAATGCAGTATTTATGCGTGTCCTCTATATCACAGGGCTGGGGTCCTCAGCAAACCTCCAAGGGGGCCTCAAGATCAACTGACAGCATTTATAATAAGACAAAACAAGCATTAAACTGTTCTTGAAGAACCAGGGTTCCTACAGTCTTCTTGGAGCAGGATATATGAGGGAAGCCTAATTTTAAATGTATGATCTAGAAAAGTCCCGTTTAATAATAAAATCTTAAAATGCAATTCCCATTCTTGTACTGTTTTGAATATACATTTTTTAAACCATGTCAAGATCCAAAATATTTTGTTGCAAGAAAATTGTAAGTAAATCCTTATCCCTACCTATTAAATAACGAACAACTGGAATAGTTTTTTGTATGTTGTGAACAAAGGAGGGCCTCAGAGTCAAAAAGATTTAAAACCACTGACTTATTCAGTATGTTTGAGTGTCATGTGCACTATAACACCAAATCAACATATCCAGATATCCTACCTCCTCATTAACAAAATCTCATGAGTTCATCAAGCGCTGCACCGCTTAGTTTACAGCGGTAACCAAGGAAACCAGCGCCACCTGCTGTCAAAGAGTGAATTTACATCTCATTCGGCCCGTCTAGTATTTTTGTCTCGTTCGTTTTATGTAGCATCATTTCACAAAGTTAAAGTCAGGCCATTATGTTTTTGCTTCAAATTTCGAAATTATACCATCTAATTTGAGGGTTTGTTAAATTAAAATATCAATTTCACAAAGAAATGTTCAGCATTTTGTCCAATCAATAATAAAAGGACATGTTTTCATTTATAATTTGCCTCAAATCTGATTTTGTAAAAAAAAAAAAGCGTATCGCATCGTGAGTTGAGTGAATTGCTACATCCCTAACAGATACAAAAGAATGCTAGAATGTATAAATCTATAGGCCTACTGTATTTCCACCTGCTCAGGTCTGCTGTGGGCACCAGGGGGCAGTGTGGGGCAATTATGATGCAAATACAACAGAGCTGTTCATTTTGCAATCCTTAAAGGGATAGTTCATCTTCAGTTGCTGGTCCCTATTGACTTGCATAGTGCTTTTTCCCCATACTATGGAAGTGGGTGGGGACCAGCAACTGAAGGTGAACTATCCCTTTAAGTCTGGAAAAGCATTAGCATTTGAGTTATAGCTTCCCTCAGGATTTTCTAATAGGTTTTTAGAATACTGGTTTTCGATTTAGTTGTACAAAAAAGTTGTGATTAAAAATATTATTTAAACCATTTAGGGTAAAAAATTATATGATAATATGGAAAGTGTAATCAACGTAGTTGTAACCCTTTACCCTAACCTTGACAGAAAAACAAAGTGACAAGCACTCCTATCATTAAGATATGCATTATACCATCACATCAAATTTTCTTCCTGTTTCAATGTCTTTTATGGCAAAAACTGATAAGAATTGTTCATGTTGCACATATTTATTTGTATCATAACAAAAATGATGTTCTTAAGTCGCTGTAAAGCACTACTTTTTAAGTCTTACTGCTTTCTTAGACAATGCGCAATCATTTTAGGCCATATTTAGCTTCATATTATCTTAACACTGACATTTATTCTTGTGGAAAATATTGTTCAGAACACAAACATGGTGCAAAAGCATTTTATGATGAGGAAAAATGTTTTTCTGGTTATTTTAGCAAACAGAAAGACCCTTTAAGCATTTAGGATTATTTGTACACAAACATAAAAATAAAGTATGTTAAATAAAGAATCTTAATTGTTATTTTTTAAACTGACATCTGAATCCTGATGGCCATTTATTGGAATATGTAACATTTTACATACCATTACTTTAAAACAATAATAATATAGTAAATTGTTGAATCATAGATATGTAAATAAGCATATGCATGTAGCGACTGTCATACTTCCACACACTTCATATACAGACAAAAATAAAGATGATAGAAAAGGAAAATAAGTAAATACTAGGATGAAAACATCATGCCTGATCTAACCTACAACAGTCACCTAATGCTGTTTACATCACCACTGAAATTATTACAAGTGTATATGTCTACTGATCAACCAGTTGGCCGGCTTCAGTGATCATGGAAAGATCTGTGAGAAATGGGTTTACATCACTTTGAGTGTGTTTGAGAAACTTCTAACATTTTCCCCCATACATACCTTTCAGTCTTCCTTCATAGCACAGCCATCATCATGTGAACACCGTCACTTGACCTCAACTGTGAGAATAACAAGTTTCTAAACTTCACATTAAACCTAATCTTGTACTATGAAGAACCTTCACTCAAGGTCCACTCAAACCTCCCTTTAGCTCAAAGTTTGACTCGTCTGGTACCCAGATATAACACAATCTGGCCCTCAGTGGACCAACTCCAGCTGACTTGCAGAAAAGGGCAGTACGCCACTAACATAGTAAGCAATGCCCAAAGAAAGAAGGGCGATGACCACCAGCAGCAGCAGCACCCTCCAGAAGCCCAAGTCCTCCACAAACTCCTGCCAGGTGGAGCGAAAGCTGGACAGCACACCCTCACTGTTCTGCAGGTTTGGATTCAGCAGCGAATGGCTCTCCATCGCACTAGGAACAACATTACTCTGTTAGGAAAAAAGGTGCTGAAACATGTAAAGTAGGGCTGCACGATATATCGAAAATATCGAAATATCGCGATATGCATATAGCAAGAGCGTGCGATATCTGAATCATTTTAATAATAGGCTACTTAAATCAAAACCTTGCAAAAGGTCAAAGTTTTAGTTTGACGCATATAGCAGAGAATTGCTTGACGTTAAAAAGAGTTAAGTGCAATATGTTGCAGAAAACAACTCTGCCGTCTTGTCTTGCTGTCTGACTCACACCTGAAGCGTGCGCACAAGCCGCATCTCGCACAGCGTATCTCCAGTTCTGCCAAATACTACTGTTTATTTTATCTATGCTTGTAAATTGTGTATTTGTTCTTTTTTCCCCCCTTTTTCTTTCTTTTTTTTACTGACCGTTCACTTGCCTTTAATAATGTTTGAACTTTCTCAGACTATAGTTTTTGCTGTGGTATATGAAGAAGTACTTAAAGTGTATGGAAAGCAAAGTCACAATGATATAAAATTAGTGTCATTCATTTTTTTGTCATTCACATTGATGTTAAAATTACATTTTCTGATTTGTGACATTACTTTTTATGTACTGCTAAAACACTGCTGGTGACTTTCAGAAGTTGTAGTGATTCTTTCTTTTCCAAGAAAGAATGCGAAACAAATTGGTTATATAATTTTCATTTTTAAATATTTTAAAATATAATTTTAATAGATTTTTCACACTTTAAGCAATATCGTATCGCATATCGAATATCGCATTTTTTAACAAGGTATCGCGTATCACATTTTTTTTCAATATCGCACAGCCCTAATGTAAAGTAATGAAAATATGTAAATGTGCAAATCTAACCTCTCACTCTCAGCCATCTGCATGGCTTCAAGTTTGGAGTGAGCTCCTCTGTTAAACCCCTTGACCTCTTGCTCTTCCAGCCCTTCCAGCAACCGAATGGCATCTTTATTTACTCCTCTCCTCTTAGCCAGCACCAGTGGTGTGGACCCATTGTGGTTACTGTTCCAGTGTAAAAGGAACAATTGAGAAACATTACATAGAGTCAGATAATGATAATTATTACATCACTACAAGTGGTACTGCTGCAGTAAAATAATAAATTAATACTATATCTCTTAGAAACAGTATAACACATTTTATTTCTATTTTATGAAAGTGGTGGCTAACTTTCATAATAACTTCCATGGTTATTATGGAAAAGATAAAATTGTATTAATACAAATTTTGATAAAATTATATAAAAAGGAAAGAAACATAATAGGGTACAACAGAAGTACATCGGGGTAAAAGGTGAATTTTATTCTATTTTTATTTATTTTATTATAATTTGTAAAACATTTAATAGTTTTATGTAGCGGACGTGAAATGTTACATTTACCAAATATATTCTGAGATAAAGGTCTTGTTGCTGATTTTCAGTTTTGTTCAAGTTAATTAAAATAAATACAATATGTAAAAGGATGACTTTTTCGTTTGTTGACATGACATGGCTAGATTCAAATAGTTAATATCATTTCATTTAAGTTAAAAAGATAATAATCATATTTATAATGATACCATTATATATTTTTTTATTATTACATTTATTTGTATTAATCTCGTTCACCACTCCTGGCTGGTGGAACGATCTTCCCACCCCTATCCGGAATGCTGAATCCCTGATAGTTTTGACTGCTTTTATTGTCCCCAATTGTAAGTCGCTTTGGATAAAAGCGTCTGCTAAATGACTAAATGTAAATGTAAATGTAAATGTATTTTATAAAAATAAACAGAATATGGCACAAACTAAATTGATTACTAAAGCTAATGTGACTTTGAACAAGTATTTCATGCAAAACTTATTGTGCAAAACCTAATTACACTTAATTAGTATACAGTAGTGTTGTCACGGTACCAACATTTCAGTATTCGGTACCAATACCAGTGAAAATCCACGGTTCTCGGTACCAAAAATCTTCTTATAGCCTACGCCATCTTTATGTAGAGCAACAACAATTCTTTTTTTCAGATCCTCAGAGAGTTCTTTGCCATGAGGTGCCAAGATGAACTTCCAGTGACCAGGATGAGAGAGTGAGAGCGATAACACCAAATTTAACACACCTGCTCCCCATTCACACCTGAGACCTTGTAAAACTAATGAGTCACATGACACCGGGGAGAGAAAATGGCTAATTGGGCCCAATTTGGACATTTTCACTTAGGGGTGTACTCACTTTTGTGGCCAGCGGTTTAGACATTAATGGCTGTGTGTTGAGTTATTTTGAGGGGACAGCAAATTTACACTGTTATACAAGCTGTACACTCACTACTTTACATTGTAGCAAAGTGTCATTTCTTCAGTGTTGTCACATGAAAAGATATAATAAAATATTTACAAAAATGTGAGGGGTGTACTCACTTCTGTGAGATACTGTATTTACTTACTACAGCTAAAATATTTGTATCAATACGGTTTTCTTCCCATAAAACGTGTTGCTCTGTCAATGTTCAATAAATAAGATTGTAATAAACTGTGAAAATTGTAGTAGTGAAAAGCACAGGTGTGCCACAGTATTAGTCAAATTGTACCCTACATTAAGAAAGAAAGAAAGAAAGAAAGAGTAGTCACAAACATTTACCAACAAACATATAATTGTTCAAATAAATATATTGGCATATCTCACCAAATATCAATTTTGAGACCATTGGACACCAGGAACTGAATCGTGTCCACATGTCCGCACAGGTGCAGTGCAGTGTTGCCCTGATAGTCGGTGGCTAACAGATCTGCGCCGAACTTGTGCAGGAAGCGGCAGATGTCCACATTACCTCGCGCCGCTGCCAGATGCAGACCTGTGCGGCCCCTGTGGTCGCGGATGTTGGGGTCGCAGCCAGCCTCCAGCAGACGCCGAACGAAACTCAAGTCCCCATCAATACAAGCCTGCAGTAACGGTACACTGGTCTGCGACGAGTCATTGATGAAGACATATGACATGTCTGAGTCGGTCTCCGAAAATTCCAGCGTAACTGAAAAACACAACTGTTAAACATACGATCGACACTTCATAATACAACACTGAATAAGACAGCTATTTGAGAGAGAGAAGAGAAAGAGCTTTATTGCCAAGTGTGCTTACACACACACGGAATTTGTCTTGGCGACTGAACATTTCTACGTTTGCTACATTTCTACAGTAATACCATATATATTCCAAATCTAAAAAATGAAATATTATCAAAACATTTAAATGTCAAATGTTTCAATTTCATTACCATTTTAAAACTAAGATGTAAATTCAATGCAACTGCAGTAACGGTACACTGGTCTGCGACGAGTCATTGATGAAGACATATGACATGTCTGAGTCGGTCTCCGAAAATTCCAGCGTAACTGAAAAACACAACTGTTAAACATACGATCGACACTTCATAATACAACACTGAATAAGACAGCTATTTGAGAGAGAGAAGAGAAAGAGCTTTATTGCCAAGTGTGCTTACACACACACGGAATTTGTCTTGGCGACTGAACATTTCTACGTTTGCTACATTTCTACAGTAATACCATATATATTCCAAATCTAAAAAATGAAATATTATCAAAACATTTAAATGTCAAATGTTTCAATTTCATTACCATTTTAAAACTAAGATGTAAATTCAATGCAACTTTTTTTTTTTTTTTTGCCAAAATTGTTTGTATATAGAAGCGGCCCTATGGAGTCCTAAATTAAAACATCTGACATAACAAATGATTAATGGTCTTCAGCATACAGTGGGCTTAATGTTCTTAATGCAAAATATAACTTATTAAAGATATTTTCTTGTTGATTATGAGGTGAAATATGACCTAATTCTCTGCTTTGAACTGCTGAAACACTGTTTATCAAAGCACCTGCACCCTTCCCCTGATCATGAGCTGCAGTGCTGGAGGAGGAATCTGCATTAGCCAGCACACTGCTAAGTTAGATGATGCTGACTAATGTAACATCCATACGACAAATAACAATCATCCCTGAGATTATTCCTCTAAATTCACAACAGAGACCAATTTGCTTCTAGTAAAAACCAGCTCCATTATGTCAAATGTGATATAACGTTTGTAAACATGTCATTACTGTAAACAGCTCTATAATACTCGAATCACTGCATGTTTATCAGCGTGGATAACATCTGAAATCCGGACTCGGCAATAAGTCATATCAGCGCACTTATTTACACGCACTGTTGTGGGTTTATATGTACCTGTTTTGTGCAGCAGTATCACAGGAGAAACGTCTTGTGCTTGTTCAAGTCCCGTTGCTTGCTTATGTCTGTCTGTGTTGTTTGTGAGTTACTACTACAGCTGCAGTGGTGACTATGAGTTTGAGCGCTCACAGCGCCCCCTACTGCTGTGGGGCGCTGCTGCCTAAAATCTCATTCTCCCTTCTCTAAAATCTAGTGAAGGGCGCTCGCAGCTTTCACGAATCCCTCTGTTTTGAGTCAGTGGTTCGGAACTCGCCAAATCACGAGATATCAGCAACCGAAGATACGGACCTCATACTGTTTTGAACTTTAGTTTCAAAACATTTCAAAATCCAATATTTTTTTTGTTTATTGTCTCTCATTCTTGTAAATATTGTGTTCTTTTTTTTTTTACTAAATAAAATATAAATAATTCCGATGGTTCGGCGCTAGACGCGTTAATCTGGTGAACCCATTAAGTTTTAACTGATCTCTGGGCACAGTGGGCATTTTATTTTATTTTTTTTTTAAATAATAATGCACTTTAATATGTATGCGTGTATAATACAAAAAAAGATAATTAATTTTAATTGATTCTAATTTATCTACTTTGGCTTAATTACAAGCATTACACATTAAAAAAACACACATTTTACCATTAAATGTAAGCTTTACTTTGTAGATTACATTTAATAGATTACACTTAAATGCATTTGCAATTGGTTTGCAAAAGGTGTCATTATATGTCTTTTGGGTAGAACAAGATCAATAACCAGATGATCTTAAGTTAATGAAACTTCCACATTACAAGAGCTTTCAGCTTGCTGTGCTATGTTGTCTTAGCTATACTGCAGTTGTGGCCTAATGGTTAGAGAGTCAGATTTGTAACCCAACAGTTGTGGGTTTGAGTGTCAGGTCTAGCAGGAATTGTTGGAATAACCAGCGCTCTCTTCCACTCTCAATACCACGACTGAGGTGAGACCCTTGAGCAAGGCACTGAACCCCCAACTGCTCCCTGGGTGCCGCAGCAATATGGCTGCCCACTGCTCCGGGTGTGTGTTCACTACTGTGTGTGCACTTGGATGGGTTAAATACAGAGCACAAATTCCGAGTATGGGTCACCATACTTGGCCACACGTCACTTCACTTTCACTTTTTTAGAGTTACACTAACAATAGTGCATTAGTGTTATTAATAACAGTAATACTAGCAATGTAGTCCACAGAAGTAGATTTTTGCACATTTTATCACACTATAGTGTCTAAAACATACAGACTAAGAATTACCAAACACTAAACGGGTTTGAGCATTCGTTGCTTTCCTGTCAAAAAGCACAACCAGACAAAGCATTCCTTAGCCTGTGTTTGTCAGGTTTTCAGGAAGAATGGACCCAAAAGCAGTTGAATGCTTAACTCCACGGAGAGAAACGAGGGGAGAGTCAGGGAGGCAAGAGGGTCATACCAGGGAGTAAACAACGTCAATGAGACAGATCAGGAACAAGGTCAAAGGAAAGCAGTGATTGGAAGCAGAATGGCTGTCCAGTAAAGCAAATGCCAGAAGATAATCTGAGGGGCCAGAACCCAAAGACAATTGCGAGAGTCAGCACCAGAGTGGGCAGTCTACTGACCAGTGTGTTCCGGTGAGAGAGGGAACCACAGCACTAACTGGGCGGAAGAGAGCAGCATGAGGAAAATAATAACTAGACTGACAGACAAGATAATTTTAACATTTAAACTGACCACTTTACCAGCAGATATTAACGGCAACACCCACAAAACTTCAGCGAATGGCTGCCACTGACCGCTCACACCTGGATGGGGCAACATGTTTGGAAGTGTGACCCCACTGCAAGATGGCAAGGTGAACTGGTCAAGGAAATAAAGCAAGCCCACCGGGCACCCCCAGGCACCCCGACTCCAGCCAGGGTTCACCTGACATGACCCTCAATGTCCCAGGTTACAGCCCCCACCACATGGGCTGAGGCCAAGATGGCGCATTATCTGGGACACAGAACTGCCACGACATCTCACCTTTGAGGTCCTCAGTGGGCCCATCCAGAAGTGTGCCACCAGTGCCACCAGGTTCCAGCCAAGAGTCAGGCCAGAGAGACGGTCCAGCAAACAGTGCCAGAGGATAATTCGAGAGCCAGAACCTAAATACCATAATGAAATTCAGCACTGGGGTGGGCAGTCCATTGACGGTGTGTTCTGGCAAGAATGAAAATCACAACACTAACTGGGCAAAGGAGAGACATGTGAGCAAAATAATAACTAGACTGACAGATGAGACTGGAAAACTAGACAAGACTGAGAAGTTAGACTGAGATAAGGGCTTGTGTGAGTTGTGAGATGCACAAAACACACTGGCAAGGAAACAGAGCAGAAGGAATAGAATATAAAGTGTAGAAACCAAGAGGAGAGTAGAAACAGCTGAGAGATAATGAGTGGCCCACAAGGAAAGAACAAAAACAAAACCAAACACTAGAGCGAAGAGGAGAGATCGAACCCAAATCCTGACAGTGTCTATCTGAACCCCACAACAAAAATAAATAAAACAGGTGAAAACAACTTTAATAGTAAGAAACGTGAATATTTTTTATGTATTTTAAAATATACAAAAATGTACAAACATTAGGCCTTTTGTTGTTTATAAATTTAAATTTTAGTTATATATTTTCCCAGATACTGTATATGTTTTGGCCATACAGTAGCCTATATGAAACCTATAGGCAGTGTTTGAAGTGGAAAAAAAGTGCCAGTACGCAAACCAAACAAACAAAAAATAGTTTAGAGCATTTTTAATACAAATAAGCACAAGTTAAGCTGCAAAACGCACCAGGACCACAGGGAGACGCCACCACTAAACGAGCTGCATTGACCTGACTGTATGCTACTATACGGATCCATTCAGAATAAATAAACCACTAACCAAAACACCTTGAGCCAGCATCCAATTTAAAACATTCGTGCTTTTAAGCCAAATACACACTGAAAAGAATCATTTACTGACATCTGGACGTGATCTGCCATCTCTGATGAAATCGGGCATGTTTTCATTCATGCATGTTTCCATGTTTCTTTACGCTTTAACTTGTCCAAAACTAAGCGATATACACGACATAGCCAATTATATAATTAATATATAGATAGCTATTAATTCTATCATTATGTAATGATCAATCCACTGAAGGCGAGCGTAAGTGAGAACCCAAGTGCAGTTTATTTACAGTGTGATCCAAACATCCAAACAATAATCCGTGACTTGACTTGACATGAACAGACTTGACTTGACATGAACAGACTTGACTTGAC